TGTTCTTCCCTTGGGGGATGCATCTTGAGCTCACCTCTTATAGTGAAGCCGACTGAGTTTGTTGTCCTGATTCTCGTCGATTTACTACTAGATGGTGTATCGTTTTGTGCAATGCTCTCATTTCTTGGAAATGTAAGAAACAAGACTGTATTTCTAAGTCCTCAACTAAGGCTAAATATCGTGCCATGTTCGTTGCATGTTCTGAGGTTGTGTGGCTGTGTGGTTTTATTGCGGAACTTGTTGTTTTCCAATCTCAGCCTACATCTCTTCATGGTGACAACACTAGTGCTATTTGGAATGCGGCTAATCCTATGTACTATGAGCGCTCCAAAACATATTGAAGTGGACTGTCTTTACATCCGGGATGTCTATGATTCCAAAGTCATCACTCTTCCTCATGTTTCCACTAGTCAACAGGTTGCAGATATCTTCACCAAATCTCCGACTCGTCTCCGTCATAATTTTCTTCTGCACAAATTGATGCTTGTGTACTCACTAATATCAATTTGAGGATCTGTTTATAGCTAAATTTATTAGTTTTGTTCTACAAACTAATCATATTGCATAGAATCGCGGATTAATTCCCATTGTATAGAATAATTATAGTTTCCTTATATAGCTTTGTAATATCTATAAATTAAAGGGAATATATACTAGAAATTCATTCAGCAAATCATGTCAGCATGAAGGTGAAATTAAATGAACCTGGAAAAGAAGGCAGGCAGGCAAGTAGCCACATATTCATAGTAGGGTTTGGATATCATCATATATCTGTATATGTGAGAAGACGAGGTGGCGAAAAGTTGAAATTTGAAATAAAATGAATTTGACAAGAAGACAGGCAGCGGCTTATTCATAGTAGGGTTTGGATATATGGATTGGTTTGGCCCATTGAATTTAATTTTTTTAATTTAGTATATAAATTTATTTATTATTATCATTTTGATTCCAGGTCGACCTCCATTCGACCGTTTAACTTTTTTCTGGTTGATGGCTGGGCAGTTTTCAGAACATTGATTTATCATATGAAGAAATTCTAACTCATTCTTTACTTTAAAGATGACTGTTTCATGCATTATATGAGAAATTCTAACTTGTTTTTTACTTATACAGATTAATATGACACACGACGATGTTTCAAGAGTAAAAGTTGAGTTAATTCCTATGATTCAAGAAAGTCTAACCGAATGGCATATTATCCATTTCTTTGGGACCACACCATCTGAATCTCCTGCAATTGAAGATTTTAGTTCTCAACTTTCATCTTTACAAATTGGTAGGATTATCCAAACTTCTTGCTGTTTAGTTTCTCTGTTTCTCTCAGTTTATGACATTAATGTGATTGTTTATCAACTTATCTTGGTAAACATTAAATATTGATGGAGATATTACATAGTTTCTTTAGTTGTAAGTTTATTGGTCTAATTATTTTTCGGCTTCATGGTGTGTGTGTCTATATATATATATATATATATGAAAGAATAGCAAGTCAGCATAGACTGATCACTGATGGACATGTAGTTGGAGTTTATTCTACTTAACTTTCTTGCATTTTTTTTTGAGATTGATTTATAATCTAGAATTGAATTGTTTGATGCTTTTTACTTTCGATCATGGTCAGATGGCAATGATGATAAAAGGTCGTGGAATGAGAGGCTTGGGAAGTGTGATTTTCCTCTAGCTTTTATCCTATTATTAAGTATGCAAAGTTCCTCTGGAGATCTGGGCCACCTCTCTTTCAGAAGACACTCCAATCCCAGCAGCTTAATTAGTTTAAGTCGGGAGTTCACTAGCTGGATAATATGGGGAAGAGATGGAAAAGAATCTTCTATATCTTTCAGCCATTCAATTGATCTTGCACTAGTCTTACTTAGACATGGCCAGTTTAATGCTGCCGAGGTTTGTTGCTTTTGATTTGCTATAATATCGTTATACTATTTTATCTCTGAACATAATAAATCTGGGAATGATTCTCAAACAAGATTTTGTTTCATCTAGTATCTGCTTACTTTGGTGGATGCATATTCACACAAGGAGAAAATATTTGGAAGCCTTCAGGTTGTGGGTGGGAAATTACCCACACTCCTCCATCTTCTTGGATGTTGTCTTGTTGCTCAGACACAAAATGGATTGTATCGCCCATTTAAAGACAGGAAACTCAGTGAATCCGTTCGCTGCTTTTTCAGGTATTCAAGGTTTTTCATCATCCACTCTATATTAAACAGAAAACAAATTCGAGAACCAAAAAAAAAAAAGTCTGTGTGTGGTTTGTTTCCTCCCATATTCAAGATTTTCTTGTTTGGGACTTGTTTTCTGTATCTTGTCTGGTTGTCTCACGTCTGTAATGTCCGTCTCTCAGGCTCTTTTCTTTTGAGCATGGGCTGATTGCTGTTGGTTTGTATTCTAGCTGGTTATGAATAGCAATTATATATATATATATATATGTATATATCCAAGTTATTTATTTATTTATGGAAGTCTTTGTTTCAATTTCACTGAAGCAGTTGTCAGATTGATCCTTGCACAAACCTCTCTCTGGAGTTCTAATTTAGAACTGCTATCTTTAGCTACATTTATGGAAGATAAGGAAGTAACATTTTTATGCTGTTGATGTTTTTTTGTACAGAGCTGCATCACTGGAAGGAGCTTCCCAGGCTTTGCAAAGTTTGCCACATGAAGCAGGATGGCTGAGTGTTGGTTTCAGTATGTCAAACTGTTACCTTCCTCTCATTTTTCATGATCTTAGATGGTACTATTTTTTTATTCATGTATTTCCTTCCAGCTGGTTCTCTCCCGCCTGCAGCATGGAAGCTTCAATATTATCAATGGGTGATGCAGATATTTGAACAATATAATATGAGTGAATCTGCTTGCCAATTTGCTCTGGCTGCACTTGAGCAAGTTGACGAAGCTCTTAGTCCTATAGATAGCAGCTCCAGGGAAGATTTCCTTGGGGAATCAGTAACTTCAGTAAAGGGCCGACTTTGGGCAAATGTCTTCAAGTTCACTTTGGATCTTAATTACTACCATGATGCATATTGTGCAATAATTTCAAATCCTGATGAAGAGAGCAAGAATATTTGTTTGAGGCGTTTCATAATCGTTCTTTATGAGCGTGGTGCAATAAAGGTGTTGTGGCCATTCTTGCCTTTGTCTCTTATTTCTATTTTCTTCCCTTGGCCTATTTGTTCCCTTTGCCATATATTTTCTGTATGTAGCATTTGACTTTCCATATTTATGTGTAGAAGAGAAGATATTAAGTGCAGACTATATTAAATCATAGTTCTTTTCTGTTGTGCTCAATGAACTATCTATAATTGGAATACTGTTTCAACTATATTGTTTGTGCAATGTTGTTGTCCACAGTGGTTTTCTTTTTTCTTCCTTTCCTTTCTTTTCTTAATCTTTTAATTCTTTTGCAAAATAATTGCACACAATGCTCACGAACTCAAAACTTTTCTCGAATCTATCAATTACAGTTCTCTGCAGTGCTTGTGCAGCATTGACATTATAGTACCGCACATTTTAGCAAAGATTAAAGCCCTGTTTGAGCCAATTTGTTGAGAATAAGATATTGTAAAAAGTGATTTGTGGTTAAAAAGTAGTAAGTTTTGGGTTTACGTGCAAAATTATTTTATTCGGAGAACTATGGTTGAAAATGAGTTTTATAGAATGGGGCTCTAACAGGGGCTAAATTTTATTGACTCCTATTACTTTGAAGTAGTTAGGCTTTCTGAAGCCTCTTTTTTCTTTTCTTCCATTTTCAGTAAAGTCCTTTTTTCATTTTTTTCAGATGAGTGAATGTTCACTAAAATACCTTTATACTGCAAAAAAAAAAGCTCACGGTGTTACTTTGGGTGTTTTTGTGCTCATATTGATTGCAGATACTTTGTGATGGCCAGTTACCTTTGATTGGTTTTGTGGATAAGGTAGAGCGGGAACTTGTGTGGAAGGTATTTGATGATTTCGCAATGACTTGAAGTCTTCTATTTTTCAAGTTCTTTCTTGGCAGACTAATATCTTTTGAGATATTTCTTCTGCAGGCAGAGCGTTCAGACTCTTCAGCCAAGCCAAACCCATTCAAATTACTTTATGCATTTGAGATGCACAGAAATAACTGGCGGAAGGCTGCAAGTTATATGTACCTGTATTCCGTGCAGATGAGAGCTGTAGCAGCATTAAAAGATCACCAGCCCAGGTCTTTGGCTCTGCAAGAGAGGCTGAATGGGCTATCTACTGCTATTAATGCTCTACATCTTGTTCATCCTGCATATGCTTGGATTGAAGCTCCGGTTGATGAAACTTTTCTATATAAAGAAAACTACCCAAGTAAAAAGGCTAGGACAATCATGGAAGGAAAAGGTATATTATCCTCCGCAGTGAATTTATGTTTAGGAAACTGTCAATGTTGCCATGTTCGTTGACTTTATTCTGCTATTCATCCTTCTGTTCCTCCTCTCTAATGTTTACTCAGGACAGTAATTTGTTTTCTTTCCTCTCCTGTTTCAGCTCTTGATGATGATGGTCAGCCTCAAAAGCTGCAATCATATTTGGATGTTGAGAAACTTGAAAATGAGTTTGTTATAACATCAGCAGAATATTTACTTTCTTTGTTGAACGTCAAGTGGACTTTCACTGGTAAGACCGTGCATGGTTAGTTATCTTGGAAAAAAAATGAAAAGTTATAGGTTAATTAGTTTCCTTCTATGATTTTAACGGTGAAAATGTTTGCCTACTTAAAATGATTGTTACTACTTGTTTGATCAACTTTTTCTTGAATATGAAGTTTGATTCCTTGCATGAATTATCCTATATATTGACTTCTACGGACTACTATTTTCTTATTTCAATCCAAATTATAAGACTAAACAGCATTTTCTGCATTTCAAGCCTAGATATATTGAGGCTTCTCATCTTACGCCAAGGCCAGCCCTTTTAGTCACTTAGTTAGTTGTATTTTCTTACGTAGGCTGCTTTTTCCTGGGGTTCACCATGCTATGGTGCTCAGGAAAACTTTACAAGAATATAACAAGCACTTTACGGATTCTGAGTTTGACTCCTTTACTGTTGATGGACTAAAAAATGAAATTCTTTCACTTGTTGAGCATCAGGTATTTTCTTGATTCCCATTGACTTTTTAAAAAGCACTATTCTTTTCAACAATTAGATATTTTTTCGTCTTTCTCTTGCATTTCTTGTAGCCTCTGCCCCACTCAATATACATTGTCCTTTATATATTTAGATAAATTAATTTAGATATGCACTTTGAACTTTCAATTCACTCATGCTTACTTTCTCAACTTTCATTTAGATCATGTCAAATCACATTTTACAACTTTGATCTCCAGTTGAATTTGACTGGGAGCTTCATGATTGCTGGGTTGCTATTCTTTAAATTGAATTTGAGCATAATTTTCAAAAGGCTACCAAAATCTGAACCCAGCGATTCTTGGAGTGAAAGGTAGACATGATAGTTTATTCATTTTTTTTAATTGATTACATATGTAGGTAATTATGTATCTATATACATACCAATACCTAGAGTCACATACGCACGTGCATAGGGGACACTATATATACGTACACATTTGTCTTTCTTTTTCTGTTTGTGGAAAGGGGTAGGGGATCAAGAAGTTAAAGGGAGTTGATAACTGTGTGTTCTATTGTAGGGTGGCTGTGAAAATCCGGTTTCAATGCTTCAATGTTGGAAAACTCTCTGTACTCGCTATGTCAATAATTGGTGTAAAAACAATGTAGCTTGTGGTCTACTGGTGGATTCAGTCACGGGAGCTGTTGGTTTAATCAGAAAAAATGCAATCTCCCTATGCCGTGGTTTGGAGGACGTAGAGCATCTTATCTATGGTATGTCAAACTTCATACCGATAAACAAAATCCTACACAAGCTTTTTGACTGCATTTCTTTTATCAAATGTCCACAATTGTTTCTAATGCAGACATTTCTTTATTTTGTATGCTATCAGGTTCTTTTAATGAACTTGGCAATAATACAAACTCTGCACTGCAAATTCCCGGTGATGAGCTTGACCGGGAGATTCTTTTTGAGTTACTCCAGTGTGTTAGTTGTGTGAGCCAGCAGTTGGGCAAAGCCTCTTCGGTTATATTTGATGAGTCACTTCTTAGCACACCTCATATCTCGCCCGAGGAGGTTGTACCTCGCTTTATGAAGATTCTACAAACAGGATATGGTTCATCAATTGCAGCTCTACAAATATCAGATTTGGGAGCTGATATTGCATGGGAGAAAGAAGTGTCTAATCACAGAAGTTTAAGAAAATTTTCAAAAGATATGTTTTTGTCCCTTCATTCTTTATGCAATAGAGCTAACACCTGGGGCAAAGTTTTGGATGTTATCGAGAGCTACTTAAGGTTTCTAGTGCCTCATAAAACTGTACTCAAATTGGGTTCTGAAGCAGTCTTCAATGTTAATGGTTTTGCGATAGTGCAGGCTACTTCCCAAATTGCCAAAGTTATGTTTGAATCTGCATTGGATGTTCTTATGCTGCTAAGCTATATGGTTAGCATCAGTGGGCAGGTTAGTTTCAAAACAACTGCACTAGGTACATAAAAGTTCCCAATGATATCACACATTTTTTCTAATTGGCTTCACATCTTTTAGAAATAATTTTTCTTACTTTCTGCATGTTTGGTATTTCAATCAACCATTGGCATAAAGGGTTAAAACAGTCGTGGAAGGTAAAACACAAAAAACAGTTCAACTCAACTATACCAAAAATCTTACATAATTATAAATCTTTGTAAGTTGTCCACGTTTATTCTGATGCCAATAATACTCATTAGACTTGTTGATCATATTCATTGGGCAAATTATCATTTTCATCCTCTTTCTTGATCAACACATCTAGGTATCTTTCTATGAAGGATATTTCTTATTTTCAATGGTTGCACGAAAGAGTATTTGCGTCAATGTTTGCTTTAGTGGGAGTAAATGCATACACTGCCTCACATGAGATGTTGAGGCAGAAATGCTTTTGCATTTTATTTTACATTCTAAAGTGTTTCCAGTGGAAATGTATAATCTTGTTCAGTTTATGAGCCAGTAATCACTGGGGAGCCTAAATGTACCAATTTAGAAAAAGAGCAATGTAGTCCATGCAAAATGTGAGATTATTTTTCTGGTCGATTCATCAAAATCAAAACAAAACTGGTATGGCACACTGATAGATATCTTTAAAAAGGCTCTTTTGGATGAGAATGGATTTTGAATCTCTAACGTTTTCATGACTAGATCAGGATGTTGTGTGTATGAAATGCAGAATAGAGTAAAGCTCCTACATCTTTATTGTTAGATGCCAAAAGGATTCTGAAGTTTGTCAACCTATTTTTGGCTTTACAAATTCTTAACAATTTCAATTCATGTCAAGGAAAGTGAAATTCCTCTAAGATATGGTACCATGACTGTATTGTATAATTATACTGGGAGGAGGATTTTGGGAGCATTATGCTGAGCCAGATACTCAGCTTCGTTCTATAATGCTTGTCCATGTGGTATTCAGTGTCTACATGCATATCAGATGTTGCAAAAATTACAAAATGAATCCCTATCACTCGAATAAATAAATTAGTCCTATGCAACTATTTGTTTAAACTTAGTGCCTTATTTTTATTTGCCTCGAAATATTTTCTTTATCTTTAGAGAACCATGTTATTGGGAGTTTTATTTCATTATGGAGGCCACAAGTGTTAAAAGTGTTTCTAATAAGTTTTAGGATCTTATTTGCCCTCCACTTTTCAAATCGTCCAGGACTCAAGATGGGATCCTGATTATATAAACCAGAATGTTGTTGTATCTCTTACTCTGTCAGCATTAAGGTTTTAGGAAGTTGAGCTGTTTACACCTTGAAATTTCATAACTTTTGGTTAACAAATGTATACTAGACTCTACACATCCGTGTGTGTTAGGAAGCTGGAATTAATGTATTTATCGCGAAGTACTTAAAATTGGGTTGGACCGGCTGGTTCGATAGGAAAAACTGGAACCGGACCGAAATCCGGTCCAATCAAAATATAAAGACCGGATGTGAAGAAACCGGTGAAAAATCCAGAAACCACCAGGTTCAACCAAAAGCCGGTTAACCAGTCCACTATTTCTTTGGTTAAGCATTGTATAAGGTTTCAAACAAAACAACCAACATCCAAAACTGTCTTAAACAAATACAAATAATTGTGTCTATATACAAATACATATATTTGGATGTGTGAGAGAGAATATAAGAGGCGGCAAGCATTAGAGGATCTATTTATAGGAAAATATTTTAGTTTTTTCTATAGACTAATTATATTGAATAGAATCGGGGACTAATTCACACTATATAGAATAATTATAGTTTCCTTATATAGCTTTGTAATATCTACAAATTAAAGGGAGTATACACTAGAAATTCATTCAGCAAATCGTGTCATGGTATCAAAACCCTAACCTTCTCTTTCGAGTGTCTGGTAAGAAGTGAACTAAGCTTTGTTGGCGGCATCTCGGTTTCATCATAGTCGGCGTCACCTATGGTCGACTCTTGCTATTTAGCGTCACCTTTGTTTAACTCCATTTCATCGCAGCAGGGTCTTTGTTCGTCTCAGTCGGCGTTAAGTTTGGTCGCCAATCGTTATTTTCAGTGCTATGTGAAATTGTACTTCCAATTTTCAGCTTGTCTAGGGTTGAGTTTTGGCCGGCGCATCTATGAGTTTGGTCAGAGTTTTCTCTTCTCTTGTAGCATGCATTTTGGAGTTCAGCCGGTCTTCTCCCATCGGTCGCCTTTGTGAGTTCGGTTTGGTTTTGTTTTGTTTTAACAGATCATGTTTTGTTTAGTTTTGGTGGGCTGTTAGTTTAGTCTGATTTAATTGGACAAATTGTTGGGCTTGGATATGTTGGCCCATTAGGTTGGGGCGTTGGTCTAATCGGAAACTAGAATATTGTTTGAGCTAATCTATTGTGCTTAGGTTGAATTTATTTGGTGGGCTATGATTAATTTATTTTGGTGGGACTATTCACTGTTTCATCATGTCAATTGAAAAGACTGGCTCCATTTGTATTTGTATTTGTTTTACTGGAAACAACTACTCGTCATGAGCATTTCATTTTTAGTTATTGGTTGAAGGCAGATGTGATTTGTGGGGAAGGGGGGGGGGTTGTAGTGATGGAAGTATTCTGCTTCCTGATCAAGAGAAGGATAAGAAGTAGCTTGCTCGGAAAACAAAGGATTCTTGGATTATGGCTAGGATCATTGGAATTGTTGATGCTCAGATTGTTCTTAATCTCAAGCCCATGTGGAAGAAAATCTACACTCAAAACTAGATGCTTGGCGGCTTTAGGTGGAGTTTAAATTAGCAATTTCTCTTAGGACTCTCCATCCATTGAAGATTATTATTCTGGTTTTTCTAATCTTTGGATTGAGTACACAGATATCATTTATGCTTCGGTTTCACCCAATGGATTGAAAGTTGTCCAAGCTGTGGGTGAAGTCACCAAAATTGATTAATTTCTTATGAAATTGTGAACAATTTGAATCCATTCGGTCTAGTCTTATGAATCACAAATTTATTCCAGTGTTGGATGGCTGTTTGGGTGAATTGTTGAGGAAAGAGCAACGACTTATCACTCGTACCTCGTTTGAGCAACATCAAAATCAAGTAACACCGAACTCTATTGCATATGTTGCTCAAAGGAAATTCAAACCGCGAGATATGTCTAGCGTGCATTATTACAGATGTAAGGGTTTGGTTACATGGCTCTCCAATGTCCCAGAAAGTATGTAATTATTGCAAGAAGCTTGGACATGTCATTATGGAGTGTCCTACTCATCCTCCGTATAAGACTGGAGGTGAGCCTCTAGTTCTACTCTGCCAATTGCTCCCACTCAGGTACCCTCTTCCAGTGCTTCCCAAAACTCCATCGCCTCTAAGATGATCCAACAAATCGTTATCTTTGCTTTGTCTGCCTTAGGTGTCTTAGGTAATGCATCACATGCTCCTTGGTTATTAGACTCGGGTGCTTCTAACCATATTACTGATAATCCTCTATTGCTTAATAATCTTAGACCATATATTGGACCTCACCATATACATATACATACTGTTGATGGTAACACCCTTCCTATCTCGGCCGTGGGTGATGCATCACCAGATTTGCCTAATGTTCTAGTCTCTCTTAGTTTATCAAAACAACTTGTTGATAACAATTACACCATATCCTTTTATTCTTCCAGTTGTCTTGTGCAAGATCAGGTGTCTTGGAGGACGATCATGAGGGGCCTAAGGAGGGACGTCTATCTCCTATTTTAGCATAAGTATATTTAAGACTTGATTATGTTGGCTAATCTATCCGAAGCCTCCTCTGTTGATACTCCTTTGGAGCATAATGTTAAGTATCGAAAAGATGAGGGCAATATTCTGTATCACCCTACTCTATATTGAAAGTTGGTGGGCAATCATCTATCTCACTATCACACGTCCTAATATTTCCGTCACAGATCATATTGTCAGCAAACTTATGGACACCCCTCATCATCTTCATTTGGCGTCTGTTCGTCGCATTATTCGATATCTAATTGGAACTACTCATTGTGATCTGTTCTTCCCTTGGGGGATGCATCTTGAGCTCACCTCTTATAGTGAAGCCGACTGAGTTTGTTGTCCTGATTCTCGTCGATTTACTACTAGATGGTGTATCGTTTTGTGCAATGCTCTCATTTCTTGGAAATGTAAGAAACAAGACTGTATTTCTAAGTCCTCAACTAAGGCTAAATATCGTGCCATGTTCGTTGCATGTTCTGAGGTTGTGTGGCTGTGTGGTTTTATTGCGGAACTTGTTGTTTTCCAATCTCAGCCTACATCTCTTCATGGTGACCACACTAGTACTATTTGGAATGCGGCTAATCCTATGTACTATGAGCGCTCCAAAACATATTGAAGTGGACTGTCTTTACATCCGGGATGTCTATGATTCCAAAGTCATCACTCTTCCTCATGTTTCCACTAGTCAACAGGTTGCAGATATCTTCACCAAATCTCCGACTCGTCTCCGTCATAATTTTCTTCTGCACAAATTGATGCTTGTGTACTCACTAATATCAATTTGAGGATCTGTTTATAGCTAAATTTATTAGTTTTGTTCTACAAACTAATCATATTGCATAGAATCGCGGATTAATTCCCATTGTATAGAATAATTATAGTTTCCTTATATAGCTTTGTAATATCTATAAATTAAAGGGAATATATACTAGAAATTCATTCAGCAAATCATGTCAGCACGAAGGTGAAATTAAATGAACCTGGAAAAGAAGGCAGGCAGGCAAGTAGCCACATATTCATAGTAGGGTTTGGATATCATCATATATCTGTATATGTGAGAAGACAAGAGGTGGCGAAAAGTTGAAATTTGAAATAAAATGAATTTGACAAGAAGACAGGCAGCGGCTTATTCATAGTAGGGTTTGGATATATGGATTGGTTTGGCCCATTGAATTTAATTTTTTTAATGTAGTATATAAATTTATTTATTATTATCATTTTGATTCCAGGTCGACCTCCATTCGACCGTTTAACTTTTTTCTGGTTGATGGCTGGGCAGTTTTCAGAACATTGATTTATCATATGAAGAAATTCTAACTCATTCTTTACTTTAAAGATGACTATTTCATGCATTATATGAGAAATTCTAACTTGTTTTTTACTTATACAGATTAATATGACACACGACGATGTTTCAAGAGTAAAAGTTGAGTTAATTCCTATGATTCAAGAAAGTCTAACCGAATGGCATATTATCCATTTCTTTGGGACCACACCATCTGAATCTCCTGCAATTGAAGATTTTAGTTCTCAACTTTCATCTTTACAAATTGGTAGGATTATCCAAACTTCTTGCTGTTTAGTTTCTCTGTTTCTCTCAGTTTATGACATTAATGTGATTGTTTATCAACTTATCTTGGTAAACATTAAATATTGATGGAGATATTACATAGTTTCTTTAGTTGTAAGTTTATTGGTCTAATTATTTTTCGGCTTCATGGTGTGTGTGTCTATATATATATATATGAAAGAATAGCAAGTCAGCATAGACTGATCACTGATGGACATGTAGTTGGAGTTTATTCTACTTAACTTTCTTGCATTTTTTTTTGAGATTGATTTATAATCTAGAATTGAATTGTTTGATGCTTTTTACTTTCGATCATGGTCAGATGGCAATGATGATAAAAGGTCGTGGAATGAGAGGCTTGGGAAGTGTGATTTTCCTCTAGCTTTTATCCTATTATTAAGTATGCAAAGTTCCTCTGGAGATCTGGGCCACCTCTCTTTCAGAAGACATTCCAATCCCAGCAGCTTAATTAGTTTAAGTCGGGAGTTCACTAGCTGGATAATATGGGGAAGAGATGGAAAAGAATCTTCTATATCTTTCAGCCATTCAATTGATCTTGCACTAGTCTTACTTAGACATGGCCAGTTTAATGCTGCCGAGGTTTGTTGCTTTTGATTTGCTATAATATCGTTATACTATTTAATCTCTGAACATAATAAATCTGGGAATGATTCTCAAACAAGATTTTGTTTCATCTAGTATCTGCTTACTTTGGTGGATGCATATTCACACAAGGAGAAAATATTTGGAAGCCTTCAGGTTGTGGGTGGGAAATTACCCACACTCCTCCATCTTCTTGGATGTTGTCTTGTTGCTCAGACACAAAATGGATTGTATCGCCCATTTAAAGACAGGAAACTCAGTGAATCCGTTCGCTGCTTTTTCAGGTATTCAAGGTTTTTCATCATCCACTCTATATTAAACAGAAAACAAATTCGAGAACCAAAAAAAAAAAAGTCTGTGTGTGGTTTGTTTCCTCCCATATTCAAGATTTTCTTGTCTGGGACTTGTTTTCTGTATCTTGTCTGGTTGTCTCACGTCTGTAATGTCCGTCTCTCAGGCTCTTTTCTTTTGAGCATGGGCTGATTGCTGTTGGTTTGTATTCTAGCTGGTTATGAATAGCAATTATATATATATATATATATGTATATATCCAAGTTATTTATTTATTTATGGAAGTCTTTGTTTCAATTTCACTGAAGCAGTTGTCAGATTGATCCTTGCACAAACCTCTCTCTGGAGTTCTAATTTAGAACTGCTATCTTTAGCTACATTTATGGAAGATAAGGAAGTAACATTTTTATGCTGTTGATGTTTTTTTGTACAGAGCTGCATCACTGGAAGGAGCTTCCCAGGCTTTGCAAAGTTTGCCACATGAAGCAGGATGGCTGAGTGTTGGTTTCAGTATGTCAAACTGTTACCTTCCTCTCATTTTTCATGATCTTAGATGGTACTATTTTTTTATTCATGTATTTCCTTCCAGCTGGTTCTCTCCCGCCTGCAGCATGGAAGCTTCAATATTATCAATGGGTGATGCAGATATTTGAACAATATAATATGAGTGAATCTGCTTGCCAATTTGCTCTGGCTGCACTTGAGCAAGTTGACGAAGCTCTTAGTCCTATAGATAGCAGCTCCAGGGAAGATTTCCTTGGGGAATCAGTAACTTCAGTAAAGGGCCGACTTTGGGCAAATGTCTTCAAGTTCACTTTGGATCTTAATTACTACCATGATGCATATTGTGCAATAATTTCAAATCCTGATGAAGAGAGCAAGAATATTTGTTTGAGGCGTTTCATAATCGTTCTTTATGAGCGTGGTGCAATAAAGGTGTTGTGGCCATTCTTGCCTTTGTCTCTTATTTCTATTTTCTTCCCTTGGCCTATTTGTTCCCTTTGCCATATATTTTCTGTATGTAGCATTTGACTTTCCATATTTATGTGTAGAAGAGAAGATATTAAGTGCAGACTATATTAAATCATAGTTCTTTTCTGTTGTGCTCAATGAACTATCTATAATTGGAATACTGTTTCAACTATATTGTTTGTGCAATGTTGTTGTCCACAGTGGTTTTCTTTTTTCTTCCTTTCCTTTCTTTTCTTAATCTTTTAATTCTTTTGCAAAATAATTGCACACAATGCTCACGAACTCAAAACTTTTCTCGAATCTATCAATTACAGTTCTCTGCAGTGCTTGTGCAGCATTGACATTATAGTACCGCACATTTTAGCAAAGATTAAAGCCCTGTTTGAGCCAATTTGTTGAGAATAAGATATTGTAAAAAGTGATTTGTGGTTAAAAAGTAGTAAGTTTTGGGTTTACGTGCAAAATTATTTTATTCGGAGAACTATGGTTGAAAATGAGTTTTATAGAATGGGGCTCTAACAGGGGCTAAATTTTATTGACTCCTATTACTTTGAAGTAGTTAGGCTTTCTGAAGCCTCTTTTTTCTTTTCTTCCATTTTCAGTAAAGTCCTTTTTTCATTTTTTTCAGATGAGTGAATGTTCACTAAAATACCTTTATACTGCAAAAAAAAAAGCTCACGGTGTTACTTTGGGTGTTTTTGTGCTCATATTGATTGCAGATACTTTGTGATGGCCAGTTACCTTTGATTGGTTTTGTGGATAAGGTAGAGCGGGAACTTGTGTGGAAGGTATTTGATGATTTCGCAATGACTTGAAGTCTTCTATTTTTCAAGTTCTTTCTTGGCAGACTAATATCTTTTGAGATATTTCTTCTGCAGGCAGAGCGTTCAGACTCTTCAGCCAAGCCAAACCCATTCAAATTACTTTATGCATTTGAGATGCACAGAAATAACTGGCGGAAGGCTGCAAGTTATATGTACCTGTATTCCGTGCAGATGAGAGCTGTAGCAGCATTAAAAGATCACCAGCCCAGGTCTTTGGCTCTGCAAGAGAGGCTGAATGGGCTATCTACTGCTATTAATGCTCTACATCTTGTTCATCCTGCATATGCTTGGATTGAAGCTCCGGTTGATGAAACTTTTCTATATAAAGAAAACTACCCAAGTAAAAAGGCTAGGACAATCATGGAAGGAAAAGGTATATTATCCTCCGCAGTGAATTTATCTTTAGGAAACTGTCAATGTTGCCATGTTCGTTGACTTTATTCTGCTATTCATCCTTCTGTTCCTCCTCTCTAATGTTTACTCAGGACAGTAATTTGTTTTCTTTCCTCTCCTGTTTCAGCTCTTGATGATGATGGTCAGCCTCAAAAGCTGCAATCATATTTGGATGTTGAGAAACTTGAAAATGAGTTTGTTATAACATCAGCAGAATATTTACTTTCTTTGTTGAACGTCAAGTGGACTTTCACTGGTAAGACCGTGCATGGTTAGTTATCTTGGAAAAAAAATGAAAAGTTATAGGTTAATTAGTTTCCTTCTATGATTTTAACGGTGAAAATGTTTGCCTACTTAAAATGATTGTTACTACTTGTTTGATCAACTTTTTCTTGAATATGAAGTTTGATTCCTTGCATGAATTATCCTATATATTGACTTCTACGGACTACTATTTTCTTATTTCAATCCAAATTATAAGACTAAACAGCATTTTCTGCATTTCAAGCCTAGATATATTGAGGCTTCTCATCTTACGCCAAGGCCAGCCCTTTTAGTCACTTAGTTAGTTGCTATCTTTACATCTTTTCTTTCAGGAAATGATGGACCATCATCTGACCTAATTGATCTGCTGGTCGAATCAAATTTATATGATATGGCATTTACTGTGATCCTTATGTTTTGGAAGGGTTCTAGACTGAAAAGGTATTACTCCATCTGCATCTCATATTTGTCTTCCCATAAGTAGTCCCCGAATTTCTTTGACGTGCTTTTATATATGATGTGTTGTTCAGGGAACTTGAAAGAGTATTTACTGCAATGTCATTGAAATGCTGTCCTAGCAGACCAATACCCCCATCGTTTGGGTAAATATATCAAAGATACATTTACTTGCCGTTCTTGGGTCTTCTCGTTTTAATCTTTTTCTCATTCAGTGGTCCATTGAAGTAGTTAATATTTGCTTTTCAGGAATGATAGTAAAACAAATTGCCTTCTGTTGACTTCATCACAAGATGAGGTAGTTAGTCGTGGCTCACTTGATGTGGGTACAACAGTGCAACAATCTATGGGCAATCGCCAGTGGGAAATGCTTGAAGTCTATCTTGTTCGTATTTCTTTTAAGCCTGTTTGACTTCTTTGCAATAGTATGTTTGTCTTGGATCTGAGCAATATTATGTTTGTCTCTGATTAGATGCAGTAGCCATGAAATGTGGCAAATTTGTTTCTCTACACTATTTGGTTCCCATTTTATTTCTTTTTCCAATCTATATTCCTGAAGATCAATATGCTCCATGACATTTATGTTTTCTGATGCTTCATATGCCGTGAGCTTCCTTGTATTGCCATTGTGGGTGATGCTGTACCCTGCATTTACATTATTTAATCTAAACATCTAATATTCACAGGCCATATTGTGTAATTATTATTCGCTACTTTATGGTCATTCTCTATAATATTGACATAAATTTTAAGTATTTTATTCTTTAATCTAAATTTGATACTCATTAGGCTTATGTTCTGCCCTTGTAGTTTTAAGTCTGCCTCAAGTAAATTATTCATCTAGGCCCTTTTGACACATGGATAGGGTTAATTTTTTTGCTTTCGATCTCAGAGTCTTCCCGAGTAAAGGGTATGACCTCAAATATTTTCCTCTTAAATGGTATATTTTTATGTCTCGAGCGAAAAGCTTCAATCGTGCATTTGGAATCTACAGTTTCCTGAAATGATGTATGGTTCTTCATATGCTTTTGCAGTGGGCTTCGCTATAGCATGTCCTGACAAATTTCTCGTTATGGATTATATTGATTTTCTCTCAAGGCTTTCTTTCTTTATAATTACGCCTATTTTTTTTCTTTCTTGTTTCTTTCTTTTTTCACGCTTCATTGTTTTTCAAATTTTATATTAGTTACTTATTTGCTTAATTTGAAGGTGTGCGTAGGTTTGGGGTGTGACCTGTACTGTCTGAAATATGGATGAGCTTGCTCATTGTATATCTGAATCTATTATTTTGTTGAAGATCTAGACTTAAAACGTTCTCCTGCATCTTCTATTGCAGGATAAATATAAAGCATTTCATCCCAGATTACCAGTAATTGTTGCTGAAACTCTTCTTTCTGCCGATCCTGAGATTGAATTACCACTGTGGTTGGTTCGAATTTTCAAGGTAATTCTTTGGTAATACTTCCCAGGTTAATTGAATAATTATTTATGGACTACATTGATTTGATTTTTAAATTATTTATGTACTATTCTTCTTTCTGCCGATCCTTAGAAACTCGTTTTCATACTGCACTGCAAGTTTTCCTAAAATAAGCATTTAGAATGAGTTGAAAGTATGAATTCTACATCTGATTGGGGTTGATGACACTTTTTACAATGCTTAAAGGTGCAACCATACAACTGAAAGTGAAAAATGATGTCGGCTTCTGACTGTGTGCACTTGTGTGTCTCGGTGTATTGTTGTATATGCATTTGAGAGTTTCAGTCTTGCTGATCATGAGACGGACTTGGGCATTATGTGAACAATTTGTGAGTGCAATTAGATTGAAAGACGAGGTAACAAAAGATTCCAAAGTCAACCATATCTGGGGAAACTACTAATTTGACCATATTGCTTAATTATTCCATTAATACCTCAACTGTAACACCTCATATATATATATATATATGCTCGTCTCGATTCTCGCTCTATAAAAGACACTCTTGAGAGAAACCTAACATCTAAACTACCTATGGTAAAAAGTACTACCTACCACCAAGGTGCCATGAGACCATTTGACAAAAAAGGATAAAGGGGGTTGGACAGTAGTAGTTCGTTTATGTACATCCTGTATATATTTCCTCCTCGAAAAGGTCAACCCTTCCCTGCCTAAACGTCAGAAAGCGCGCTTGTGTGTTACACATAAGTATGCATGTATATGCTGTATAGATTCCTCCTCGGAAAGGTAAACCCTTCCCTGCCTAAACCTCAGAATCTTGTGTGCTTGTTCGTTCTAAAATTGAATCACACGTCCACAGTGGTAATCCAACATAATTCCAATCTAGTGTCTGTCAGCTCCCACTGGCCACTGGAGACTTCTAAAGATACAGTTACCAGCCACCATTATCAATTCAAAGACAATCAAATGAACAATAGTCCAATGAGCAGAATAGTGGATGTACACATGCGTACATTGTAGTTTTTGGTCCCCACAACTTAATTTGTATTTTATCATTGCTTAATTTGTGCCCCACGAACTATCAGTTTTGTGCACTGAGATCTCTGGTATCTGCCCTGGCTAATACTGAATACCGTTGTCACGTTCCTCCATCTCACTTAACATACCATCAAATATCTTGTGCCATTCCTAGTCATTTCCTGGGTCACCATGAGGTACTTCTGCCTTGTGGTATATACACATCTAAAGAACAAGTCCAATGAGCAGAATACTCAATCTTGGCCCCCACAACTTAATTATTTGAATGTTGCATAAGTATACACTGTATACTCTTTCACTAATCAGCACTTGAAGGGATTGAAACTATTAAGCTTTAACGCAGGAGCCATTTTTTTAATATTGATGCCATATATTATGATTCCTACTTCCTATTCTAGCTTCAGAACACCCTCTATAATTCAAACTTATTGGGAACCAAGGATCAAGTAAATTTCATGTTGTTGAAGCATAGTTTCTTATTTTTTGGGTAGTTGGTTTTTAATACTGTATCATATAGTTTAACATGCCTATTATATTTGCTTTGTTTTAACTGCAGCAACTTGTTAACCGTTTCCTAATCTTTCATGGTCTGTGACAGGGTGTTAGAAAGGAAAGAAACCTAGGAATGACTGGAAATGAGTCCAATCCAGCATCCTTGTTTCGCCTATATGTTGACTATGGCCGACTTGCAGAAGCTACTAATTTACTAATTGAGTACATTGAATCCTTGGCATCGGTAAGTTCGCTCTTTCTTCTCGCCAGCTCAGCGTTTAAGACCTTGGAGCTCTGTACTGTCAAAGAGTGAATTGAACATTATAGTGAACAAGATTTAGTTTCTCATTCTTTCTTTGTATTGTCTACCGGTATCAAATCCTCCCTACCAAATATTCTATGAATATATTACCTTTGATTTCCATATTCTTATTTTGTTGGCTGGGAACTGAAGAGCTTTACCATTTATCTGCAGCGACCAGCAGACGTCATTCGTCGTAAAGCACAATTTGCAGTTTGGTTTCCCTATACTACAATCGAACGTCTGTGGTGCCTTCTCGAGGAATCTATCAGATTGGGCCACAGGATCGATCAGTCCGAAAATCTGAAAAAATTGTTGCACAGCGTGCTGGTGAACCATCTCAATCTGGTGCATTGCTTCTCTAGACTCTTTTTCCTCTGACCAACTAATTTGTCTGCCAAACAATGACACTAACCATCATTCTCGTTTTTATTTTCCTCCAATTTTCAGCTTAAAGTAGATTCAGACGATGTTCAGTCTTCTCCAGTCCTCAAAACCTCGTCGTAGCAGTTTTTGAAGCTATGAGACGTTCTAGATTCTTCCATTTTCGGTAGGAGCCTCACAACTTATATGTCTGCCTTTCATCTAGTACTACTACCATGCCAAATCAATTTTGCTTGGCAGCAAATTGGCTGGATCAGTTGTCTTGTGGAGGCTAGATGTGGCTCAAGATTCATCCAGGCTTAAGTTCTCAGCTGTCAGTTTCAAATATTGTAGAACTTAATATTTGTTTTGTGTTGTATTGAATTGTATCAAATTAATTATGATCAAGAAATTTTATTGGTAGAGCTTTCTTTTCTTGACTGAAGATTGAGATGAGATGTCAATGAATGAAAAATGTGAATCCTTGGGAATGATTGAATTCTACCTGGGCTGGAGATGTCAATGTGTTATAGGATGAAGCAAAGTCATAATTGAAGACTATGGTGCAGAGAATATTTTTAGAATCAATTGTAATGAGGTAACAAGGGGGACCTTATATGCCATCCTTTGAATTTTTATAAGACGAGAAATTAGTATGGTGTTGGAGTTGTCACACATTTAATTCGATGTGGACGACAATTTCATTAAGAAGTAAAAATGTATTATAATAGTATGTTGCTTCATTATTCAATGAAATAAAATGTAACACAATTTCATTAAAGACCTATCCAATGTCACTTAATTGGTACAATTGTGATACAGATACATTACAACTTAAAAAGATTTGTGAAAAAAGCCAGTTAGTCAAGGTTAAAAACAGGGGAGGAGACGGACTGAGGTAGTGGAAAATTGTTTGAAGTTTTTTGTTTTAATTTTTCAAACTGTCCAATCGAGGAGCGACACGTGTTATCCCTGTTTTGAGCCTATTTTTCACTCTCGATGTGTAGCACAACTGGAGATTTGTTTACCAATAAAAAATGTGACAAGATTTAATTGGGTCAAAATGTAATCAACCAAATAAAAAATCACATCATCGATCTGTGAAAAAAATATATATATAAATGGTAATGTATAATAAGTATTTTTATAATCGAAAATATATCTATAATAATGATAGGTAGCATTATTCATTGAAAAATTTTTGTTTACCATTCCCTCGAAATGACAACTTTGTTCGCAGTTATTTTTATTGAACGAGCTTAATCAACAATTTTAGTTCGATATTTATTAACTATGTGTTTCATCTTACAGCAATTATAAAATATAATTGTATTAAAAAAAAGATATTTATTTATTTTTATCTATGTGTCACCAACCTAATAATAAAGCTTATTTGGAAAATGTTTATAAATGATTTTATTTATAAATGGACAAAAATAAATAATATATGTTGATTGTGAATTTCACGAAATGTATGAATAAAAATTATAATTTGACATTTTTTGATCATTTCTTACGGCTATAAAACACTTGTCAAATATAGTCTAGTGCAATTGAGGGAGGAATATATTACTTGTAAATTTATGCGTCCGAACAATAATAAAGAAAATATTATATATTCAAAGTTCAACTGTACAAGTTTTTTAACTACACATTTGATCAATTTTTATTAAAATTTAAGTAATAATCTGATTTTAATCTCTCCCAAACAGTGGCCTAATCAATTCAAGAGCAATAAATAAAAGTCGCTTAAATTGTGAAGAAAATTAAATCCCAAAACCCCTGCATATGATAAATTAAATTATAATTAGCCAGTAATTGTTTTGTTAAGGAAAAAGAGAGGTGCAGAGTCAAGCAAGTTGGCGGACTCTTTCACGCAATATCTGCGTTTGATTTTTTAACTTACAAGAAAGAAGCAAAAAAATTCAGCAGAAAAGGAGTGAACATCAAGAAAACACACTACTCCCTGCAATTTCCCCTTTTTCACCAACTTTCTTTAATAATCTTTTGTTTTTTTTTTTTTTTTTTTTTTGTTGAAGTTGATAGACTTATTCTTCTCGGAAAGCATATGAAGTGATCCTTTTTTCTTTTTCTTTTTTTGGCTTTTGATTTTTTGAATTACCAAGCTTTATTCTTTTTCTGATTTTCGTGATTTAGCTTTTTTATTATTGTTATCATTTACTTGTGTAGCGTGTGTATAGTATATGTAAGTAGATGTTATTGAGGATGATAAAGAAAGGAAAACGGTAATTTATACTTTCTGGTGCAATGATTCTTTAACAATTTTTGTTTAAATTCTCCGTTATTGTGCACTTCTTGATAAACTTGAGGTGTTCTAGGGTTTCCTCTGGTGAAAGAGAGAGATCAATTATAATATTTGTTATTAAATTGCCAGAACTTTAGAAAGGAGGAGTTCATTTAGTTTCAATTTTGGATAGTGATTGTTGATTGTAGGTTAGTCGAGATTTTGCTTCCTCAGATATGTCTATGGTGTTCGGATATATAATTTAGAGAACTTACAACTGTGCTGATTCGTTAGGGCGTTTGTGATGCCCTTCTTTTGCTTATTAGTTAAGTTATTTATTATTTCTAGTTAATGCCCTTCTTTGGATATTTTAATCAGTTTTCCCCAATAGCATTTTCCCATTCCGTGGCTTAAAGTCAATAGGGTTTCCATCATCTGCATTTAGACTATGATTACCATGTGGAGAAGCAACATATCAATTGTCCTTTCCTCTTAGTTAATTGATCAGATTGATTCTTTGCATGAAGCTTCAAACAGTACAGTGTTTAGACATTGTCGATATGGCTCTAGTTTATACATGGCAGAAAAAGGTCATTAGTGTATTTTCAACATTTTCAGTTCAGAGACATCCAGTTGGCTGTGGTTATTCAGACGTTCGTGGTGCAAGTCCCGTACATAGTAGCTGTAGAATGTTATTAGTTTTCTCATTTTTCACTCACCAATACTCGTATACATTCAAGTTCAATGTGTGGTTATCACATTATAGATATCTAGATAAAGAAAATGCCGTGCCTGCATGGAATCAACTGTCTTTAGTTCTTACTATAGATCATATGGATTTGTTTGAAATTAGATTATTGTTTTTCATTAAACATGAATAGATTGTGTATGTAGAGAGAGAGAGATAAAAAGACCTCTAGAAGAAGGTTCCAATGAATTCTGTTCTTTCTAGCTGAAGTCCAGCTCGGATGAAAGTAAGCAAACTGGTGTTCAGAGAAAGTAGCCTAAAACCATGTTCAAATTAATTTTGTATCCCTAAACTTCCTATAATACTAAATTAGTATACAGTTATGTGTTCATAGCAATGTGCACAAACACATTACATATTCTGTTGAGAATTAAGTATATGGTGCAAAGAGAAATTTCTGTATCCGAGTATATGATGCATTTTCAGTAGTTTCATAATTTATGAATATTTACCAGTTTTCTTTTTTTAACAGTATATTTTATATGGCTTCTATATCTGTCTTGCTTAATATTAATGTGGATCCTGTTTCATTTGGCAGACATCTGGTGTCTTGACCAAGATGTTAGATTCAGCTAAGGAGTCTGAGGGAAACCGTGTTCACAATGGGGGTCAGGTGAGGGAAGATAGTGAGTACGTGAGATTGGTCATACCAGATGAACTAAGGATATCTGAACCTGATACTTTGGAATCTCAACCACAAGCAAGTACAAAGTCTCTTACATGGTGGATCAAGGCCATAACATGGTGTTTATTCACTATAGTTGTTGTTCTTATATTTTTAAAATGGGGGGTTCCCTTTCTTATAGAAAAGGTATTTTATTTGTTTTTACCATGTATGTACTTCTTCCCGTCTGTTTTCGTTATTTCTTCTGCTGAACCTTTCACAGAAATGGGCATAATTTGGACATTGTAGTCTACTATAAGGATTTGAATTTACTTTTCTTAATCAGGATCCTCTGCAGTTTGTTTGGGGGGTGGGGGGTGCTTCTTGTTCAGCTTATTAAGCAAATGATATTGGATTGATCATAATCTGAAGTTTTTATGACGGTATTTTATATGATAATTTGATGCCATAATACCAATAAATGTGAGCGGATAATTACTAGTTAATAACAAGAGCCATGAATTTCTAGACTTGACTTAAGAATGCATTACATTGATACATTTGTTCATGAAAAGCATTTCTCTACATTGCAGCGTCCTGTAGGATATTTTAACCTCGATTTACCTCTCTTACTCCAATGATTGTGCTTAGGTTCTTTTCCCAATCCTGCAATGGGAAGCCACTGCATTTGGTCGCCCTGTGCTTGCTCTCGTACTTGTAGCTTCTTTGGCATTTTTCCCAGTGTTTCTAATTCCTTCTGGCCCTTCCATGTGGCTAGCGGGGATGATTTTTGGTTATGGCCTGGGGTTTGTCATAATCATGGTTGGAACAACTATTGGAATGATCCTGCCATACTCGATTGGTTTACTCTTTCGTGATCGAATTCATGTAAGACACGAGCAACTTCGGTTCATGATATTATATAATTTACTGTTCTCTTTGTTATATTCTGCGACTTTCTATAGTTGGTGTTTGCCATTTCTTTGTTTGTTGTTTTACTCATAATCTGTCTCTAAATACGCAATGTAGCAATGGTTAAAAAGATGGCCTCAGAAAGCTGCTATGATTCGATTGGCTGGAGAAGGAAGTTGGTTCCATCAGTTTAAAGTGGTTGCACTTTTTAGGATTTCGCCATTTCCGTACACTATATTTAATTACGCGATAGTGGTGACGAATATGACATTCTGGCCCTATTTGTGTGGATCAGTTACTGGAATGATTCCTGAGGCCTTCATTTACATCTACAGGTCAGCTCTCTCTCTGCTGCCCACTCCACACCACAGCACACCAGACCGCTCCCATGCCCCCACACAACCACTCACACAAGTCTTCTCTTTTGTGGTCAATTATAGATTGTTAATATTACATCCCGTTTGTTACTTGAAATAAGTAGTTTCCTCTCCATTCAACAAGGCAACAATTAAGGATCAATAACAACATACATCCTTTAGTGAATGACCGAATGCACTTTTTCCTAGTCGAGGGTGATTCATGTAAATCAACTTCTAGGCATGTTTGGCTATGCTTAAAAAACAACTGAACTTTTCTTACTTTAAAGAGCATTTTTGGCTAAGCTTGAAGAAGCCAAACATGCTTTATTCATGCTTTGGCATTGGAGTTGTCCAATTGCTTATTTTGGAGCCATGTCTTACTTTCTGGTTTGTTTGTTTTTGGCTGACTTCACTTTTGGTTTTGATGTCTGCAGTGGTCGACTCATAAGAACGTTAGCAGATGTCAAGTATGGGAACCATCATCTAACTCTAGTTGAAATCATCTACAATGTCATTTCTTTTATCGTTGCTATCATTACGACTGTTGCTTTCACAATTTATGCAAAGAGAACATTAAACGATCTTAAAATGGCAGAGGCCGATGGGGAAGGTTCTGCGTCTGGAAAGAACAATTTCGAGCTGAATAAACTTCCGCTTGAAAAGCCTAAGCATCTTAGTGCATCGTACCCATCATAGATTAGGTTTAGTTTGAAGCTTATAATGTAAATAATTGGTTTATTTTGATGGTTTTGATACTGTGACTGGAAAAATACTTGAAAAATAACGTTGTTAATCTTGATAGGAAAAGGAAATGATTTTACCCTTGTAACTTGAAAATGAACAATTAATTTCATGTTGAAGTCTTCATTTTAATTTTTCATTTCCAGCTTTTCTATTCTTCTAATGTTTCATACCTTAGAATAAGATGGGAACACTGATATGGTTGAGTTCTTTCTTTAGAAATTGGGATAGTTCTCAAATCTGAGCTTGAATTTAGCGAAAATCACCGATATCTATGCAAAATTGGAGTCGAAAGAATCCCACAACCAGTGACCAAAATTTGACTCTAAATCTCGAGAAATTTGAAATCGTCTATGCAATCCATTCGATTAGTCAACTAAAATCGGGAAGAGGGAGGAAAGATCGAAAATAAAAGTACAGAATTTGACAAAAATAAAGAAGTGAACTACCCGCATATACAAACAGACCATCACATGCAGCATTTGACTCATTTAAATTCTGAACTTTGTTTTGCTACAAAGATGGAATAGAATTACCTTGCACCCCTTTTTTTTTCCCCATCTATTTACAGTAGAAATACAAATGTAAATGCAACTAATGTGGCCTTCCAGATTAACTCCCGCCATTAACCAGATATGGTAAGCTGCTCTTTTCCAGTCTACCCAACAAAACAAAAATAATTGTGCTAGGACAGATGAGAAGTATGGGGCTTACTCGAAGAACTCAGTAAAACCCCCTGGGAGTCGCTTTCATTTCTGTGTCTTGTCCATAACTGGAAAAATTTCTTGAACCCACCTTCATCCAAACAGAAACGACCATGTAATGATTTGAAGGGCATGGTTCTAGAAGAAAGCTTGTGGAAGGGCAATGGAATTAATGACGGGCAGAATGATGGTGTTCTGGTGGTACGTACAACGTATCACCACACTCAATTGGAGTGTGTGTTATAGGATTCCATCGATCAAACACTATTCGGCCCCCTCGGCCAATTCTCCCACGATAATTAAACAAGCGTGCAGACATGCCATTTGGGGTTGACGAATCCGATGGAGGTATAATGCCTGCTGCTGCTAGTTTATCTGGATCTAGTGGTTTAGTGAACAAGAAGATTGGTTCATTTGGATCCTGCATAAAACCGTAGAATGTCATGTCACGTCTGTAACCAGGATATTGTAGAGATGGAATGAGCTTCAACAAACTATAGACCAATCCTCTAGGAGCACCAGCCAAAAAATGTCTTTCTTTTCAGATATATTGTCATGTCTTCTCCGGACATTATGTAGACAAAACAAAAATGAAAAGGATTATATTTAGTTAAGAATGAGCTCAAGACAAGTACCAGATTACGAAGCCAACTATGTGGAACATGACGCCGTCTGACCTCTTGCCTCATGCTTCCCGTAGAAGCCATCACCAGCTTCGTTTCTGCGAAAGATGGGTTTTGCACCGAAGCAGGACGAGGGGTTGGGCGGCTATTTGCCACGTCATCAGAATCAACAAATTCGTCTTCACTTGAACCGAGCTTGCTGGGGAAGGACGGCAATCCAGGAAGTGCCAAGCTATCTTCTAGGAGCTCAGTTTCATGCTGGAAAATACATAGAAATTCAGTTGCCAGCAAACCTTAAAAAGTATTTATTACAGGTCATGGCCGGATAGAATTTGAACATCCGACACAACAGCACTACACAGATTATACAATTTAAAGTGTTTTTGTTTTACTGAGACAGGAAAATACAATTACAGCATAAATTGAAATGGTTTGAAAAGAAATTCCTAAACGTGCTTTCATAGGGGAAGTATATTCGAAGTAATCTCAGAGGGAAGCAGAAGAGGGATCTTCTTTTAACTTGGAGCGAGAAAGAAAACATGCAGATGACCGAGAAATCAAATCTCCCCAAAGAAGACACTATTGGCGATGATGATGTCACTTAAGGGGTCTCATCCAGGCACAGACCAGAATCATCATTATGAGTCCATAGAAGATTACCGTTGGACAAATCTTAAGAAGTACATATGAAAGGGTTTGCGCAGAGAATATTTGATCTCCTATTGCGCATGGAGCTAAGATGGAGGCCAGGACATAGTCCAGGAAGACTCAAGTGTAAGGGTGATAATTTGAGAGTCCAAAGAGACTTGAGGCACTTGATTCTCTATAAACTAGGAGAAATACCAGACCAAAGAACCAGATGCGAAATGATGAAGCTAGGAATTAATGGACTATTACATTATGTGATGATAAAATTAACTGGTTGGAACTTCAGGGTAAATAGTCTAATGGAAAAATGGGAATTCTTTCTGCGAATGCAAGTCTGGATAACACAATCTCGAGTGTTGCTTTTTTCTTTCTTTCCATGATTGTTAATGTGAATTATTGTTTATTTTGTAAGACAGGTGAAGAAATGCAAATCACATTATGCTTCACAGCAAATGCCAGCATCATTTTGGCTTTTTATGGGCTGTATAGAGAAGCGATCATACAAAATAAGGCAATTTCAGAATTACAAATAATTTAATAGCACAGAATAATCTAGCATACCTTATACTTCATTTGAATTCTTTGAAGGATAACCTCACTCTCCACAAGTTCTCTTTTTCTCTCTTCCCTCTACATAAAACCACAATGAAGGAATGAAGAGTAATCGTCGTCACAAAAGCTCCCACACCATTTGCAACATAAAACTTACTGGAGAATTTTGAACTTCCAAATAATAAGGCAAATACCTTTATCAGAGTCTCAATAATTGTCTTCGCTTGATCGAGGTTGCGTCTGACCTGAAGATGGGGATTGAAAACAAAAGGGAGCCGTCTAAATAAAAGATTAAAAAATAGAATCTTAAAGGAGAGCAGAATCAAAAACATGATGCGAAAGTACTCTTTCTACTTTCTAGAAGCTATGAAATGATTAATAATTAATTGCCTCAAACCTCATGGCTCAAGAGCCTCTTGAATGCACTCCTCGAACAGATTAATGACCAGGGAAGAGACAATGAAGTCAACAATCGCATATGACGATTGAAGATCAGTGCCTCAAAATGAGAACTGAAGTTAACAATCAGTAATAACTAGCAGAAGATAAATCGTATGGTAATGTGTGCAAGCAAAGTTGCTTTGGCAACTAGTGAGCTTAAAAAAGGTAATGCCTGTCCTCCTAGGACCACCTTAGCTTCACATCTTGTTTTCAGGGGTAAGTGAGGGGCTATAAGATAGGCCAGAAAATTGCATCCTTAATAAATTTGCTAAACTGGCTCAGCCGGTTAATTGCTTGGGGAAATGCAAACTTGCAAATGGAAGTAATTCATTTTGTGATGGAATAAATTTTACAATACTTCTGAAAGATTATATATCATCAACATATTGAACCGTTTATGTGACAAGAAGTTGCTCTTATTCCTAAAGGGAATAGAAAGATGATAACTCAAGGCTAAGCATTAAAAAAGCAATTTTAAGGTCACTATACAAAAAGTCCTTACTATGCTACACAGTATATGCAAACATCAATCAATAAAAGATAACCAATCTGAGCATGAGGCATGACATTGCACAAGTTTTATATCAGAATGACAATATGTTCAAAAAGTACAATTAGGACTCGACGTCGCTTGTGCCAAATGATATCAGTAAAGGACAGGCAAAAGAAATTGTAATTATTGAGAGTTAATGCTTCTGAATCAATTAAGCACTTAATTCGAAGTCCACTACACAACACTAAGCACATAAAAACAAAGTATAACAAGATTCAAGGGCTGCAATAAAAATAATGATCACCTGACGGAGCTTTTCAAAGGACTGCACATTGTTTTCCCTCCTTTGCATCTATTTGTAAAACGGCAAGCATGTAAAAGACCCATTAATATACATTTCAATTCCTCAAGTTTAACAAATAATAACGCCACTAAAAAATATACATGAAATAACAAATGAATCAAGTAACAACATACTCTCCTAGTGTGAAGCCTATGAGCTTTCTCTCTTGGCCTGAATACATTGTATGGATTGGTATCATTGACTGGTGGAGGTGGCTGCAAAGGAAATTGCAAAACAGAGATTAGCAAATGGGCAATTCTAGAAAAGGGAAAAAAAAGGGGGGGGGGGGGGGGGAAAAAAAAAAAAAAAAAAAAAACCCGAAAAAAAAAGGGGGGAGGG